TTTTACGAGAGAATTTCTTACCACGCTCGTTGCACTTATCCTGGGCCCATAACCTGATGTTATTAGGATTGTGGGACTTGAACGTGGGTGAGAAATAAGAGGCACACTAACTTTGTATGTGTAACAACGTAGGCTCTTTATTGCTTGTAGAGCTGGGACTAACTGAGGCTAAAGAGGCAAGCATAAGACGCGTATACCTAACGAGCAGATAGCAACATACTCAACACAGACACTTATACACACATACACTCATACGCGCTCAATGGTGCCAGCATATAATAGTGTATTTATTGCTACATGCCATTATACAGGATAAATTACAACATTAACTAACAAGATTCACAGCCATCACTAAATATTTTTTTCTCAATTGATTCAATTTTATTTTTTTTTAAATTAGTTTCTGTGTACGAGTCCGAAATTCTATTCTTCAAGATTAATTTATGTAATTAGGATATAGCTAATTTATGTTTTATGTTCGATTGAAAACTAAAAAAGGTAATATAATTAAGGTTGTTAGTACATTATTTGATAGTTCTTGGAAAAACGTCATAAGTCCTACATTTAATTAAGAATTTGCACTTCAATTCGCCGCTTTTCAATCCCTTCTGAACACAACTAAGCTTATAAGAACTAAAACTTACATTTTCACCGAAGCGTGCACGTATGGAGTCAAGCACCTTTGAAAGCCATTCAATCTCCCTACTGTTAAAGATGGTTAATAGTTGTTACAATCTGGTTTTCTCCATAGCAGCACAGTGGAAATGCCCATGCAAATATAAAGGACGTACAGCTTCTACCAGCATCTACAAATAATAATACAAGACGTCCAATGACGGTTGGTTGATAATTAAAATAAGATCCAACAGTGGTAATGTCACATTTTGTTTTCCTTATAAATAAAACGACATTTCGGCCGTTTGGACAATGTCCTGGCCCTTACTAGGTACAAGAATCTACGAGGAATAAAAAAAAATTTTCACTATACAAATTTTGGTAAATACAATAAACGCAAATTAAGTAAATTGTATAATATACGTCTGACTCTTACGAAGGAGATGCAAAATCGTTATGTAGTTAGAGTTTCAAGTTTTGTTGCTTTCATACCCTCCACATATACAAATGACACAATATACGCAGACAATACAATCAAATAAGAATTGCAAGCAGTTACTTGTGAGACATACGTAAACATATCATGTTTTCCTAATACTGTAAATGAAAGTGGCTCGGCTCTCAAATCGTGTACATCAATTTAGTCTTCTTTTTTAATTGACTTCATGGAAAACATGTAACAATTTTTGAATTTTTCTATATCTAGTTGTCTATTAATATCATTTTTTAAATAATGTATATTGAACGTTTCAGAAAAAAGGCGTTTTTTGTCATTTTGATTTGTGTCTAAAATTCTTGTTTTATCAAAATTAAAACTGTATGTAAACTTAATGCTGTCCTGTGATAGGACAAAAGTTTTTTTTCTCTCTATTTTTTTTTCATGTTCTGTCATTCTTAATTTTACAGCTCTCGATGTTTGACCGACATAGCAGCAGTTGCAATTTGCACATGGTATGTGGTGAAAACAGCCAAAGGTTGTTTTGTTTCTTAAAAAATACAAAATTTGACTGTACCACCATTGAACGTTATTTGAATTATGAAACAACTATCATTTGACTGCTTGTTTTATAAATTTTATTATTTGTTTGTAAAAGTTTATTAAGACACTGTACTTTTGAGTTCTTACATATAAAAAATAGAAGTGCTCACATTAAAAAATTTTTTATGCATATTGTAACTTTGACATTCATCTTGAAAATTTTAAATTTTGGTGAAAAATTAATTTTACAAAATTGAAGGACAGGACAANTAAAAAAAAATAGAAATGTTTATGTTACAAATCTTTTTATGCAAATTACAACTTTGACATAGATCTTAAAATTTTTTTAATTTTGTTAAAAAATGATTCTCACGAAATTAAAGGAAAAAAAAGCCTTTAATTTCATACAAAAATTCTACAATAACAAAAATCGTCGTATACTTTCTAACACCGATTTCATAATAATCAAAATTTTTTTCGGTCCGAATACCATTTTGCTGATATGTTTTGATAATAAGAAATATTAATTAATTAATACTTAAATCGATACGAAAATACACATGTGTTAACTTTTTTTTAACAAAAAAGCTTTTCTAATAAAATTTGTATCTCTGAATACATGAACTCTAAATATAAGTTGTATTTATCATATTATGAAAAATAACAATAAAAATTTAATTAAGAAAGTTAGAAAACTTAGTAACAATGGATTATTCATCCAACAAGTACATTATTTTGTAGATATTGAATTTCAATTATATCTTGTTATTGAATGTTTAGATTTTAAATATTCTTGAAGTGTGAGCATTCAAAGCATGCAGGAGGAAAGCCCCCCTAGAATACACATATACACACACCAGACGTGCTGAGTCCGAGAGAAGCCATGAGCTAGCACTCTACTGCACCTCCACCATTCTTGCTGGTGAAGTGTCCCTCACTGCTTCTCTGCGCTTACGCCATTATAAGTGTTAATATTAGAAAGACTTTCTATTGTAGTTAAGCTAATGGCTTTTATTATGCTTCTATCTGTGTCAAAAAAAATTAGTTTATTGTCCTTAAAGTTAATCCACAGTTATGTAAGACAACAGGGAGAGCTTGTATCACATTTAAAACAGTGCATCCTAAATTACTGCTGTGTTCGTTTATGCCCTCATCTATCCACCTTTCTTCCTAAGCTCCCAGTGAGCTTCTCCGCAAGCTTATAAATCTCAGTTGAAGTTATAATTCTAAATACTAACCTAGGGCTTTTTATTAAGGAAGACCTTAAAGTATGTCAGTGATCTGTACGGCTTTCTGAGGTCACCTCAATGATTTTGTCCTAAATGGCTCGCTACCATTGTGTAATCAAAGAATTGTAATTTTTTTTTCATAATACTGTCGGCATAAATAACCATGTGCGTCCCTTTATCAAAAGAATTCCGAAAGATGGTCCTGTTGTGTATGCACATCTTCGTCTATGTTTGGATGGTGCATGTGCTGTTAAACATATTTTTGCAATAAAACATTAAACAATCTAGCATCAAAAAACTTTTTTTGTCAATACATCTAAATTTATTGCGAAAAATAAATTATAAACCCTTTTTTACAGATTTTTTTCTGTAAAACTGTGTTCGTTAACAATATCTTACAAAATAACATATACTTTCAGGATGCAAAATAACTTCTAGGTATATATCTTTCTTTCATATAATTATTATCTTGATTTAAATACTATTTGGAGATACTGGCTGTATGAGGTTATAAATATTTTGTGCGCAATACTAACAAGATAAAGACA